GGGCTACTTCCTGCAAGACTGCGCAGGATGATCAGCGGTAATTCGACAAAGTGCAGCGCCGACTAAAAAGTGGACCAGGCCGGAGCGCCGGGGCCCGGAGTGAGCGCGCTGCAATTACAGAGCTAGTGGGCACACCGCAGACGGGCGGCCGCCGGCCAAACTGCACTGCATGGTAGAGGGTGCCTCCAGTACCGAGCTGACCGAGCCACCAGACCAAAGGCGTGGATGCAGCCAGGTTCGCCGGCATAGTGACTGTGTCTCACCTGGTGAGACTGCGTGCTCTACCTACCCAGTCCCCCAGGCTGTTCGAGCGATCACCGAAAGGTGGCACCTTAGTGGCGCCTGGCGGGGAAAAGGGCGCCTAAACGCAACGATTTATAGAAGGTTCCCACCAACTCATTCCAAAATATGCAACTCGAACCAGAGCCTGTGCGAGTATAAATAACTCACAAAGAAATAGTCTGGTCAGCAAAAAGACAATAAAGTGCACACAAATTCGAAGAACACGCAGCAATTTCCAGATCCACTTCACCAATTCTGAACCAGTCCGTGGAATTGAGTTGTTGTTGCTCCCAGCAAATCAAAGCTGATTGGTTCCGGTAATGCCTTTCCGTGAAAAATACGAGCGATGGCCTTGATATTGATTCTAAAGGATCTATTGCTGCCTGATGTTATGAAATACCCACCACCCAATACCAGCTGTTTTATGATAACGCTTAATTCGTCATACTTAGGGATGATTTACATCTATATTATCGGAAACAAGTAAAGTAATAACAGTAAATATGATCCGTTGATGGTGATAAACGTGTGAATCTAGGCAACATGTTGGCATCCAGCAGTGATTTGCACATATTCTTTAACTGTTCCACAGAAAACGTCTTTGAGCGATGACCTGCAAGCTTCATGTCTATTCACGCACGGTAGCGTGAGGCAGGCTTCAATATAGGTACTCACTTCGCACGTCAGATATCGGCGGCTCGGTCATGGCTCGGTCCAGGAAAGATCCACAAACGCAGCGCCACGTAGTGCGTACTATGTCTGCCTGCTAACTATTAACTATATATTAACTAACTACTATATAACTAATATATTAACCCGCGCCCTGGTGGGGTCTGTTTATAACGCGACCTGGGCCCGATTTCACCAAGTGAATATATTCCATTACGGCGGCGTACATATTCACTTTTGGCATATTATGACATATTCAGTTTCACCAAACTCCGTACAGGGATACTTATTCAAGACAAAGACAAAGTATGACTGCATATTTGCATAAGTCCGTCGTTTTTTGGCATACTATTACATTTGAGGTACCTCTGGTACGCCGATCTGCTTTTTCAACAGCTGTTTGCCGAGTTTGCTGGCATTGAAAGTATGCTACTTTTTGTGGCATACTTTGAGAAACAGCTTGGCATACATCAATTTTTTTGTATGATAATGTTACAAATTTAATGACTTCGTCGATGCAGCGTATGATAAAAACATGCCACAGGCTACGCAAAAAGTTTTTGATGTCATAATGGTTATTTCTTGCTGGATATATAGGGTATCGTGTGTCAGGGAAATTAAACCCCAGAACAGCTATTTTTATAAGGCTTATCTCATCGTGGCATCACTGCGATTAAAATCACCCCATCATGCAGAAACACAACAGGGAATTCCTTTTTTCATTCGCATTCCCGATTACATTGAGTTTTCCACTTAAAAAAAAAACGACAGTTCACATTGTATTTTGATAACACAAAAGGCCAAAAGCGTTTCAAATCTTTCTCACCGTGATTATTACACCGTGCTCTTTATACAGCGTTTTACCGAAGAGGAAGTAAATAACTGGCGAGGGCGAGAGGAAGGACTGAAGTCCAGTCCAGCAACGCCTTGATTGACATGCCCAGCATGTTGCATCACAAGTCACAACGCATTCGTTTACATTCGTTTTCATCGCCCACTTTTGCTTTTTCTTTGCAGTACCCATATGCTGTCCAATGTCCATATTTTTTTTTGTGTTGTGGCCAAATGATTCAATTTATCACCGGCTTCCCGCTTCCGTTCAGGTTCAGTCTGCCGAATGATTCCGAAATATTCTCCATATTTGAAGTCGTCGGTAGACCCTTCGATTATTTAAAAACTTGATTCAAGTAATATTTCAGATAACTTGTCGGCTAGTCCGCCGTGCTCCTTGCTATCGTCAGTGATCGGTAGTTAGATATAAGATAGGTGCCTCAAGTAATGCCATTTCTTGTTCGACTTTATTTATATTTGCTTTGAACCACTCCAGAATTGCGTAGAAGATGTGAACAAATATTGAAGCAATATCTAATGAGAAGTAACTTGGAAGAAAAAAATTAATATCAATTCAAAATCCAATAAAACCCACACACGCCAGTAACGTCAACTGCATGCTGCGCGGCTTGCTGCCGATTGTTTACATTTTTGGCTTTGGAATGTCATGCTCCCAGCAAAAATCAAGAGCATTATTAGCAATATTTGTTTAGGTACTTCCTCTTGTATGATCAACAAATTTAATTCTTATTAGCGTAGCTAGAAATTTTTCCATAATATTGTATATCTGAGCATTTAAGCTCGTCGACTTTAAATACGGAAAAATATAGTGACTGCATGTCCCCGACAAGAAAAGATATATGCATGCGCGCCGGTGGCTCTCAAAGTACGTAAAGCGGGCGTATTGAATATATTCCTGTGGCGAAACCGAATAGTATTATCGTCGTACTTTGTCGGTGTACTTTTCCAAAGTACACCAAGAATATATTCACTTGGTGAAATCGGGCCCTGGTGGGGGGGGGGGGGCTATTTTTTGCCCCCCCTCGTATCTCCGAAACTACTAGACGGATCCAAAAAATTCAAACGGCGTTCGAAAGGCCTGTCAAATTTGTCGAGGGCAACCAAATTTTATTGACCTCGGGGTCACCGATGACGTCACAGGTCAGGTCAAAGATGAAATGTTTCACCGTTCACGGGTCTTCTAGGGAATGCGCTATAACACCGAGGAAAACGCATTTTGTCGGGAATCAGCGATAGGGTGTCAGTTGCCTAGTAGACATGTTGCTGTTAGAGGTCACTGGTCATACCAGGTCAGGTCACAGGTCAGGTCACCAAAGGTCACCAAGGGTCACCACATGAACCCAACTTTACTAAGGTTATGCGATGCATGTTTTATGGCCAGTTTTTAATTTCCAACTCAATGGTGTTGGTTATAAGACCATCAGGTACGGTTTAGGTCACTTTCTGGTGGAGGTCAGGTCAAGGTCAGGTCAAAAAGGTCAAATTTCAAAGTTGATATTTTTGCATAAAATGGGTATTGATTCGATGCAGCTCGTCACGGGGAGTCTAATGGTGGTCTTTGTTTTGCGCTACGAGGTCTAGAATTGCTGAAAATTGAGTTTGAAAATTTGACGTCATCAATTTTGAACAGTTTTTTCGCTATAACTTGGCCAAAAAAAGAGGTATCGATCTCAAATTTGGTTTATAGATAGAAGGCGGTAAGGACTATCACATATATTCCGGTTTTTTTCGAAATTCAAAAAACTTTTTGGATTTTTTGGCTATTATATTCAAAAAATCTATTTTTTGATTTTTGGGGGTCAAAATTCAAAAATTTTAAAAATCCGAGATAGTTGTTTTGTAGCCCTGTCCATTCTACAGCTTTTATGTTTGTATCATTTTTCTGTATTTGCAAAGCTATAGGCCTGACAGCTCTTCCCGCGAAACCCTTTTTTGGGTCGAAAACGGCAGAACATGACGTCACTCTGACGTCATTTCCGGCCAACCTATCGTAGCCTTTGGGAAAATTTTTGGTCACAATGTGTAAAATTGATGTCCGGGAGGGTACTGAAAGTTTGGTGACGATCGGCGCAGTGGTTCTGGAGATATATCGAAAAGTCTGGAGGGGGGGGGGCAAAAAATAGCCCCCCCCCCCACCAGGTCGCGGGTTAACTATTTGTAGCAGTTTGAATGTATGCTTTGTTTATTGAAACTAAAATTATCAAAAATGGTTCACCTATCAAATGATCAACTCGAAATAAATAAAGGAAAGTAAAAATCAGGATCAGTTATGTATTATAATCAGCTCAAACAGCAACATTTCGTTTTCGTACAATGTTGTCAAGCGTCAGTTTTTTTTATTAACTGTGTCAGTTACCAAGCGAGCTTCCAGCTTATACGACCACCTATAAATCCCGCCCGGGTTCGCTCGTCTCCAAGAGCACATTCATAGAATGTAACTTACACTGCCAAGAGGCAGTGTAACCCTCACAGCGGAGGATTGTCCTCTGATCCCCGCGGATCCTGCGTCATGGCGCCCCTGTATAAGAACTGCTTCCAGCCAGTGTCCTCCTGGTGTGGCCCTCCCAGCAAGGACCCATTACCGACCGATCCATGGGAGCGGCCATGCTTCATTGAACTGAGTAACTACCACTAATCGGCCGCCGTCCTGCCCCGGCGCTGGGATGAGAGGATCTTGTCGCGCTGCGGTGTTATGGAGGGATAACACTGTCATGGGTGAAACGGCAACGCAAAGACGAGATGTCGTCAACACGGGATAACGTTATCTTGGGCGAGACGGTATTGAAGAACCTTCATATCGCAGTGAAAGCAGCGCCTCAGTCAGAGATGGCATCAGACTTCGCTGGCTTGCATACGCGAGAAAGTGCTGAAGCGATTTATTGGACAAGAGGTAAGCTGCAAGCATGCCTACCGTCTGTCGATTAGCGATTTGGGAATGGTGGCGCCTCGCATATGTCTCCAGTTCGCTTGGGAGGATATCGTAGTGACCAAATACAGTGTTGTCTGGTAGAACATGCTTGGTGTCTGGTGCCACACCAATCCTACTTCACCTCCTTCGCATGCGACAGCTGTTGGGGGTGACCTCCCGCGCATTCGCACTCATTCATCATATCATTTTCAACAATTGTGAGTGCATGGACTATGAGCAATGGGGGGCTCTAGAGCAACATATCAATCTGAAGCCCGTTGACACCTACCTTGGGTCTCTGCGGGGGCTCCATGCCGGTGCTCTTCTGCGGCGGCGGCTCCAGCTCCGGGTCCCGCAGAATCATTGTTTCTTCTTCTCTGGCTGCACCTCGGCAGCTCGGCTCGGCCGCCGGTTCGGCGTGGCCGCTTGTTTACTGTCGCTCTATCACGGCGGCGGAGCGGAACAAAAACCACCGGCGCCAATTACTGGGCCCGATCGCCGCGCACTGGCCGGCTCAGGGTCACACGGGTTCCCCGGCCAGGTGACTGAGGGACTGGGGCGAGCAAAACACCCTAGGCAGCCGACTCGGTCAGCGGCGCACACACTGGGTGGACTGTTCTGAGTCAAAGAACACTTGACGGTCACTCTTTTTCTGGGAAAATTTCACAACACGCGGATGACGTTCGCACTCTCGCCAGCTACTGGCAGTTCAGTACCGGCGAGCAGAGTCTGGAGCAGCTGCAGTGACTGCAACTGGTCTCTCAACTGGTCTCTCAACTGGTCTCTCAACTGGTCTCCCTCGGCGTCCAACTGTGGACCCACTCGTGGGGCGCAGCAACAGGTCACCTGATCCGGCAGGCAGTGGTGCGCCGCAGCCACCCACCACACCTGAAACAAAGAGCCAGTGGGTCAGCCGAGCAGACAACTCACCAGAGGAAGTGGCCACCACTGGATACTGGAGGACGAGTCGGGCCCACAGCTCTTTCTTATCCATTCTTTGGTGACATTCACCTTTTGTCAATGGGTTACCTTTTAGAAGGCTCAGAGGTTCGGTATAGATAACCCAATTAGCCCCAGCTGAAATAATGACACTAAGATGCAACCATGCGTCGCCCTACTTCCCCAAGTCACAGGCTTCTTACAAACAGGCTAGAAATGGTGACACTCGGGTAGTCATTTGTAAACAACGGCACGGAGCTATAACAATATGCTTTAGAACAGAGGTGGTTGAAGTGAAGGTAAGCCTTGAAGACGTCTTAACATAACTATGACTAACCGTTGAGACTAGAGCAGATGGGACGAGAAGAAACAGTTTTCAAAGGCTTTACATGGAAATTTTATACAGGGTGTCCCAGAAGTCTTGAAGCTTTTTTATTTTTGTCGTGTGACCTTGCTATGCCACTGATTAAGGCAAATGACGCCTCAAACGAAAGAGAATGAACTGAAATTTTGTATTTTCATGCGTAGAGCACCACTTAAGTCAGGTGGCCCCCGTTGTGAGTCGCACAAGAACGAGCGCGAGAGAGCACGTTCTTCGCTGCCGCCAAGATCTCCCGGTTTGCGAAACACCGGTGTCGCCATGCCCGTTTCTTGTCAGCTTCAGAGTCTTATTCCCTGAAGCGAGCGACATACTATTAGCGACATATATTTGCGACGGTTGATATTTGTTTTAGCACCATAATAATGCGACGAATCAAAGGATTACAACGGGCTGTTGCTTAGCGCGCTCAAGTAGCTGAGCCTTATTTTCGTAATGGATGCGTGCAAACATGTCAGGAGACTTTCTGATCAGTAAATCATTATGTTGCTAATGTTTTCTCGGAGATCCAATACTCTGTTTCCTGGCTCGCTTCATGAAATAAGGCTCTGAAGCTGACCAGAAACGGGCATGGCGACACCGGTGTTTCGCAAACCGGGAGATATTGGCGGCAGCGAAGAACGTGATCTCTCGTGCTCAATCTTGTGCGACTCACAATGGGGGCCACCTGACTAAAGTGGTGCTCTACGCATGAAAATACAAAACTTCAGTTCATTTTCTTTCGTTTGAGGCGTCATTTGCCTTAATCAGTGGCATAGCAAGGTCACACGACAAAAATAAAAAAGCTTCAAGACTTCTGGGACACCCTGTAGCTACTTCCTGACTTCTTTCGCTACTTCTTGCAATCAAAATAGCGAGCATGGAATAAAAATGGCATTAGCCATTACGCTTTGCTCAGTTCAGGGTCTGTGTTCCGTGTCTGCCGGCGGCTGGGACCTACAGCGGGGCTCAGTAGGGGAGATCCGTGTAAGACGCCCAGGGTCGGTAAGAGGCCCCATCGCTTTTTTTACCAAACCAATAATGTTATTTATTTTTTAATGTTCTTGTAAAGCAGAAGCCCTCTTGAAACAACAACTCACGAAACCTGAGGTATCAGGTGCGTCGCAGCGACTTTTGGTAAGCCTGTTTCTGTTTTTGCCCCTTTACTTGCTAGATATATGCATCTTTATCACCCTTATATATCTGAAAAAACAATGGCTATCAAATGCAATCTTTTCTCATCGAAATTGTCACATGTTAGCTTCAGAATAGACCATGTTCTGGTGCGCTGCAAATGTCTCATAAACCATAAATATTGTGGACGTTAAAACACTGTATTTTTTTAAGAGGCCCTCCCTTCGAGGATGATAAAACGCCCCCCGATAAAAAAACGCCCCCGATGCTAAAACGCCTGCACTTGCGGCAGGCGTGGCATTCTTTTTTCAAGGAGTTTGTTTTTGTTTCTTTTTTCTGTTTCTTTTCTTAGAGGTTATAGGTACAATTTTCGTTGGTCATCAGCGTTTGGTTGTGCTAGTTTTCGCATTGTTCGAGCGCTTTGGAAGTGTTATTGGTTTCGATAACACCGTATTTGCTTAGCTTTTCGAAATAAAAGGCCTTGCAGCTGTGTTCGCAAAGCGTCTTTTACAAGTCGACTTGACTTTTAAAACGCCCGAGGGGGGGGGGCGTCTTACCATACCCATAGTGTAAGAGGCCCTTTTGCAACTTTTTCCAAAATGTTAAAGTTTACGGTTTGTGTACCCCCTAGATTCATTTTGAATGCAAATATGTATGGGAAAATGATGCAAGCTCACAGCGCATGCACACGTTAGCGCTTAAATATTATCAGTTGTCTAAAAATAGTAACTGAGCTTAAGGGGGGGCCTCCTGCACCACTCTCCCCTACCGATCAGGGCACAATGGTCCCTCGACCGCAGCACGGTGAGCCGCTGAATCGGCCGCACGTGGCCGGAGACACGCCCGCCCGTTTCACGGCGGAGCTGCGGCGGCTGCAGCCAAGCCGTCTGACGTCAGCGCTGCAACGTGACGCAGGAGGGACTGCCGAGGTGCAGCGGCCCAGCGGCCCAGCGGGGAGCGGGCACTGGGCACTGGCAGCACAGGGTCAGCTCAGCCGCGCACGGCCCGGTGAAAAACAAAGCGGTAGCTTGTTGTTCCATCAGCTGCGAGATTTACCGCTGGACGAGAGGCATACCGTTTTTTAGTTTGGTTAGCGCGGGGTGCAGGCTAAAGAATGAGTGATTTCGGAGTTAGAAATATCCGTTTTAAATCAAATATTTACTGAGGAAATCCATGGTGCAAACATGAAAGCTAATGTGAGGGCTTTCAAACCAAAGCCGGATGTTCCCTCACACATTATTCGCCTAGTTTTAATGTTACACCATGCACCTTGGTCGTGTAAAGCCTGCATTCTGTGACTGAAGAACTGTAATCGGCGGCGGATCCGGCCTCACCGCGATCGTATCACCTGGCCGATGGTCTTTCCGGCAGGACCGGCGTACACCGAGCGCCGGTAGAAAGGAACACGTGTACGGAGTACTCACGGCCATACGACACGGCCCCTCCTACCGCCGTAGCGCCACATGACAGGACTGCCCTGCCTACTACTCGCAAGTCATATCGAAATATTTAGTGGCGCAATACGACTTAACGCCACCGGCTTAAAGTTTATTCTACGCTAAATATATCTCAAACGCTTGTGGGGACAAAGTCATTCCAAAATAAATTCGGACATCATGGATGAAAGACTGCAGGAGATACAAAGAAATCGGGTCGGTGAGTCAAGACAACGTCGATAAGTTGATCATAACTACGATGCGGGCCCACGACTCCGTGAAATTGTTTGACGAGCCGGTAGGAGACAGCCGGAGGAAGAGGCAATACCTACCGCGGGGCTCAATAACAGCTCTCTCAGGCCATCATCGAGTGATCGATCGGCTATCCGAGCGTGTTAATCGCCAGAAAACCACTCGGAAATACAGACACATCAACACAGAACGGTCAGCGACCGAGTTCCAGATGGGTGCTCTCGAGTAACACTACACTGCCACTTCTTTATTTCACTGATCACCAGCCAACGATACATTTTTGATGCTTGGCTCTGGTGAGGTATTTAGGGGCAGTGAACTTCACGGTTTATCACGAAGTTCAGACAGAAACATCGATAGTTGCAGCACTGTAAACCCTTCCTGCAGTCTTCCAGTTCATTTTTTACTGTGCAAGCTGGATACCCTCAGCCATTGATGGTCAAGGGATAATACCGCTGGCACGTCCGACAAAATAGCTACGTCAGCACGTGTACCTGATCCGGGGCCGGGCGGCGGCTCATTACAGACCAGTGGCCGCTGCGTCTCTGCGTGCCATTGTTACCGCACGGATGCCGGCCCGGGGCGGTTGGTCCGCCGGCCGGCCGGCCGCGCTGCGCCGCGCCCCCAGCGCGCTGACCGTGAACTCCGAGCCGAGGGACGGTCAGCCGGCGGACGGGCCGCCGCGCCTCGGACGCCGCGGAGCCTCTGCGCTGTGGGACGACGGGCCGCAGTCCTGTGAGTGGGGAATGGGGATCCCAGCCGCCGCGCCCCGCCGCCGCACCGAGACGGACGAGTACAATGGCGGGGTGGAGTGCAGCAGGTATGCGCAGACAAAGGCGAAGGGCAGGGGTGCAAATTACGGACCCCTTGGGGTGAGCGCGGTGCCGGACACTGGGCGGCGCTGGGAAGTCCACTATCTATGTAATGCTCAGATTCTTGTAATAGCAATGACCGAAAAGACAGTTGCATTGTAACATAGCAAATCTGACACAAGATACCTGCTTCGAAATTCCAACCTGCTGGCTTTGTTTTAGCTGGCTGTCCTATTCACTTTAACCTATCAACACGTGTGTATGCCTGGTCTGTTGTTTGAATCGAGATGGATGAAGAAGTCTCGGCTCTCGCGACCGAGAGCCGGCATTTCATGCGTTATTTTCCTGTTCTCGGTTGCAGTCTCCCTCGTCCCGTCCGATCGTTGACCTACTGTATGACGCTAGACCTACTGTATGACGAGTGACTATTCTCAAAACGTGAACTTAAGCAGAAAGTAAGCAGACAGTTTGCTGGAAGAGCTCTGCAGCCCACACGAAAACACACCAGTTAGCGTATTTCCGCTCCGTCGACGCCAGCCGTCTCGTGGCCGGACGTCTCTCCAGAGACTCCCATTGGCTCCGTGCGGTCACTCCTCTCCATCTCCGCCAGCCCGGCCAGCGACACTGTCCTCTCCGCCAGCCCGGCCAGCGACACGGAACACGAGACGAGACGCCTCAGGTTCGGCGGGACGGCTGCTCTAACAGTTTAGAAAATCAACAAAACATACACCCACACACTCATAACACTACACAGTGCGCAGGTCTGTGAGTGGCCCGCCCGTCCGGTCGGACCGATTGGAGGGAACCGCGGCGATAGGTGAACGTTTTTTATCGGGCTGAAGTAAAAACTGGTGCCGGAGTTACGGGACTCCCACGGGATCCGCCGGCCGTCCATCCAGTGGTGCCAGATCCCGTCCGACCAGCCCCGCGTGGTGCCACGTCGGACTGACATGGCC